AAAAAAAAAAAAAAAAACCGTGAGGTGGTAAATTAGTAGCCACCCTGCCAAATCCGGGACTGTTTAGGCTGCCCCTGAGAGCCGCCAAGTGACCCATCTCTCGGGTTCTGTTGCTGATCGAGTGAAAAGGCTCCACCTTGTGAATGATAGTAATTCGAGTATCCTTGATTCCCATAATTCTGTTGCTGGACTTGTCTCAACCCTCCTGTTTGCTGGTTTTGTTCCTGCTGATGATAGTTGTAATATGTGCTGGCTGGAAGACCCGACATTGTTCTGGAATTAAGTCCGTGGAGCCACGTGCCCAAGTTATCATTCTGAAAATAAATAACGAGGTACAAGTCAGTCTCGAGGTACAAGTCAATCTCACAAAACTTGTCGATATAAATGTATATATAAATATATATAAATAAATAGATGATCGACTTCTTTGGCAGATTGGCTGTCCAAGCGCTTGTAGGAAGGAAGGGGGAATATATTCAATCTCGAAATCAATATACGACTGAGTGATATATATTGTAATGTTGCTTAAAAGATAACAACTATCCAAAGTTTTGAGTCGTTACAAGTTAAAATGTTCCAAGCACCCCCTTTACATTTATAGGAATATTATAAAATGTCCTCTTGTAATATGGGGTCAGATCTCAAGGGGCTTTCCTAATTTACAGACGTCTCCTTTTTTTCTCTGTTTTCAATATATATATATATATCAAAATAAGATGATTTATCCAATAATAAGACAAACTAGGCAAATTAGATAAATTTATCCAAAAGTATACTATTCATAACACATCAGAATTTATCTATCATTTTAATAATTTATTTATCCCTCTTCATTCAAAATAGTAATTCAATTATGGATGAACAAAATTGCGAGTTGCCTATCAAATTTACTTAATTATCAAAAATTACTAGAACTTACCTAGCATACTTCGATTATAAAATTCTAACTTTATCCATCTACATCTTAATAAAGGGTTGTGTGACTGCACGTGGGCAACCTAACTCTTGTAATATGGGATCATACCTCAAAGGTCTTTCGGCTTTCCTGATTTACAGATATCTATTGTTCTTTCTTTTTTTTTTTTTTTGATTTCAATTAAACGATACCTCAAAAACCATTTAGGTTATTATCTTAAAATATAATTCAGAATCACAACTATCGCTCATTAAACCAATCACAGCATAGCAAATCCCCCATTATCAATAAAAACAATTGCATTGAATCCCTAAAATCAACCCATCATTTCTCAGAGTTCAAAGCAAACATACCTGCTGAAGAGAGACCAAGTGACTATTGTCCTTATACTGAGTACTCAAAACATCATCATAACTCAAACTCGTCCCAGACGAGGGTGAATTCATCGAGATATTCATCGAGGTATTTCCAAGGCCACCATATCCGGATGCTGACTGGGGCAGACTACCACCCGAAACACTGTTCTTGTACTGAGGAAGCACAGCCCCAGCCTTTGATTGACGGTACGTGCTGTTGCCCGAAAATGTCTGTTGGAAAGCAGATGAAGGAACGTATGTATAGCTCTGGGGCAAGTACGAGTAGCCCGTCATGTTTCCGTATGGGCCCAAGCCAAACTGGAGCGCGGCCTGAGAATATGGATGCATGGAGAGATGCTGAGGAAGAGGAGGCCCATTGGGGACTCCAGCCTCGGAAAGAATCTGTGGAGCATTGTGCTGTGAAGATGAGGAGAAACCAGCAGCAGTCTTCAAAGCCTGAAAAAATATAATAGATAGCACACAAATTGGCTTTTGGTTACTTTGATTTCTTCTAACTGGACTTTGCTTGCATTATTAGAATACTAATCAATGTCAGCCTTTTCCCAGCTTGATATAACATACCACCAGAATTGAACTTGAAGAACTGATAAGAACTATCCAGAGATTTAAGGTGAAAACAAAAATTATTTTTACAGAACAAAAATAGTAAACTACCCACTTGAAGAATTTCTGGACTCATTATTACCTTAAGGTAGTTTTTAAGAAACCCTTTGTTCAGTAATCAATCCAGGTCATGGCTCGAAGGATGGAATTCAAGCATTAAGGTTGTTATGAAAGTTAAAGATGGAAAATGGACTCTTTTTTTTCTTGAACATTTATAGGACCACCAAACACAAAAAGAACATTTTTTTGCGGGGAACACCAAATAAATATGAAAAAAAAAAGATTATTACACAATTTCAGGGCAGTCGATAGTTGAAAAGGGTTTAGTTTAGTTTCATCAACTTATTTGGCAAGTGTACCTCAGAAAATGCTGAACCATCAATGGTAGAGGCTGAATTTCCATATTTAGCAGATAATGATTTCGCGCCAGCAAATTGAGAGAACTGAAGATCAGGCTCTCTACCAGCATGAACATTAGCTGGCGACAATGTGCTTGGCAGAGGGTTTGAGTAGCCCTGCCATAAAGAAAACAATCAGATATCAGGTATGAAAAAAGCTCCAACAGAAAAAAGACTTCAAATAGACCATCTACACAACTTAATGGAATGCAGACTTACCATACAAAAAGAAAAGAAGAAGAAAGAATTAAAGTAAAAAGAAGAAGATGAAGAAGAAGAAGAAAGGACAATATATTTCAGATTCCACAATAAAGTTTCAAATGCATGATTCTGCAAAACATATCCCACAAAAAGCTGAACACACGAAGGCAACATAAAGCTAGTGACAGAATTGCAGCAACAATATAATTCATTATCAACATCCATAATCACAAGAATAGACGATGACACCAAGGCATCCACACATTGTCATGCACAATCATGGTAGAGCTGTATGGTATTGGATATCTGGAATCACAATAATCAACATAATAGCTTCACACGTAAGGAAGCAAAACAGGCAAGGGTATCAGACATTATAATTTTTTTAAGAGTGAGGAGTCAGATCTAGAACATGCATGGATTAACAAAAACAGAAGAAGATTGAAAAGAGAAAAAAACAATTACACCAGATAACCTTTTTCTCAAAATTCTTTTACTTCTTTGAATCAGGAAAACAAGTCATGCATCAATTTCTATGTCATAAATTTCTACTTTATTTCTTATATATAAAATGAAAAATAGCAGAATATATTGATACTCCTTCAAATGGAGATCACCGAAATAATCTTTTTTAGACCCAAAAACATAAGGAGAAAAAAAATCGTTGACCACAACATTTGAGAAGGAAGCTAAAGATTGCATCTGGGAACTTGCTTGACCGAAAGGAGCATTTAAGTGTTGAGCATCGGCAAAGGTGTATCCAGTGTCAGGAGGATAAGTATATTGATTTGAATGAACAGATTCAGCATTCTCGGGCTTCAGCTCTTCTCGCTGTGAAGGAGAAGATGGAGCGTAGCTCCCTGCATTTGTATTACTTCTAAGGAACAAATCACCATCAGAAGCATTTGTAAGGGAATCGTCAACATAATACTCTGAACTTCTGCCAGAAGAGTGGAAGGCACATCTTTAGAGTCTAAAGAAATGAACTGAAATCCGTTTAAATTAAAGGGGAAACAGATAAAAGAAATCCTATACTGCAATCAATTGCTATACCTGCTGTTCAGATTCCCAACTGATGAAACATTAGGCTCATTACGCGGCTCTTCCAAGTTAGACTGTGTGAGCAAAGCTGACTTTGGTCCAAAACTGCCGAAGCTCAGATGTGAGCAATCTACATTCTGAACTTGCAAATGGTCTGGAATCACCACAGATGTTGTATATCCCTCAGGTGGCAAATCTCTATCACCCTTTTCTATATCAAGTTGTTGCAAGTTTCTGGTGACTGATGACACTGAAGCACCATTTTCTTCAGCTGTAACATGTTTAGAAGACTTAGATGCCCAAGTGTCCATACATGAAATTCACAACTCAAATTGACTGAACCAGACAAGTAAGACCATTCATGTCTTTAGTACAAAACATAAAATAGATGTTCATACTAGACCCATTTCTTCAATATCACAAAAACATGCATTACATTATATACAATCTGCATTTTCTGATCTCACAAACAAGGAGGACAACTACAAAAACTACTCTGAAACAAGTAGACATGGTCACTTAGAAGATTACGATTTCTGGTTGTAGTAATTATTTATTATTTGTGTACAATTTCGCGTTGAATCTGTATCCACATCTATATGATATAATATAACCAGCACCAGGGTGCACAATATTGATAATACACCAACTCATTCCCCTAGGGTGTACAAAGATGTAACATTTGACAGCATGAAAGTTCAAACATACATTAATTCATTAATTAATAAGACAAAATTGTAAAAGCAGTCACCTTCATTGAAATCATGCTGGTAAGAACCTCTGTTTGTATACAAGTGGTTCTCGAATAGGGATGCACTTCTTGAACCATCCTCTGGAATCTTCCGGCTAGATATAGAATTAGATACCCCAGAATATTCAGCATCTTCATCTTGTACTTCTTGAACATCTTCCCCCTCTGAAGGTCGACCAATGCTGTTAACTGGTACACCATGCGCCTCTTGGTACTGCTCAGTATCCACAATGTACTCCGGAATATACACTTGTGTAGCGGTCGGATTCTCTATGGAAGGCCACTCCTCATTAGTCCGTGAATGCTGAACCATAGATATTCCTGACTCAGGATCCTCGAATTTATGATCTTCAGGATTCTCTATGGAAGGCCACTCCTCATTAGTCGGAGCAATTGATACTCTATTCTGCGGTCTGCCCATCCTCACTATGTCAGCCATGGATACAGGACCAGGAGGTCCTGTCCAGGAAGATTGATTTCCAGAATATGGCTTTACACCAGATGGCGCAGCTGATGATCCTTTGTTTTCGGCAGAGGCATCATCACTACAACATACCATACATGAAAGAATGAGCATCACAAATAAAAGGTTGACAAGAAGTCAAGAACAATAAAAAGCGAAATGCAGAGAAAATTAGGGCGTGCTTGTATACAAATATATCCGCTCAAAATGAGTTTTTTTTTTTTATTAACTAAGTTAATTTGAAACATGTGGTATTGTTAGTTGTTAGTGGGATCTGAGTTTGTATTAAAATAATATTTAAAATAAAATAATGAAAGTTGATTTGATGTTAAAGTAGGAGAGAAATGATGTGAAGTGATGGTTAGTTAAAATTATGTGAGTGGATGAATAAAAGTAGGAGAGAAATGATGTGAATTGATGGTTAGTTAAAATTATGTGAGTGGATGAATAGTGAATTGAAGTTGATGTGATGTGTAATAATGATTGATTGATTTATTTAATTATATTGATTGAGTTGGTTTTAAGTTGAGTTAGACTTTGAGGATGAATTGGGTATGAAATGAGAAAATTTACAAACAAACACATTCTTAAGAACCCAAGCATGTATACTGAACCATCATTGCAGCATTTGAACCATAGCATGCCAGTAAATGATATTCGAAGAGCTTAGTGCAAATTACAGAAAATAGATTTCACGTCATCATAAGTTCATATAAATATTAGAAATGAAAATACAAAATGAATGATGATAATGATGTTGACGGTGATGAGTGTTACAAGAATCATAAACAATAAATGAAACCATGATTAGGAATTTTTTCAGACCATCTTTGCTAGAAAGAGTAGCAAAACAGAAACCCCAAGAGGAAAGCATCAACAGATATGGTCAATACATACACTATATAGCTATGCAGAATTTCAACTCAGGAACTCAATAAAACCTACACTGAAAAAGTTAAAACAGGACAGACCTGTGGTCAGCGGGTCCTCTGCTGGTATTATTTCCTGGCGTATCATAGGATGAGAAAGGGTTTGTGTAAGAAGTTGATCCATTTTCTTTCTTAGATGACACTTTTCCGTGCAAAGGAGCATACTCTGTCAATGAAAAATACAATAAAACATAACCATGAATGTTTACAAATGCCTTGTAGACAAAAAGTACATCAAAGAAAACCACTAAAAACTGAAGCTATAAGCACCAGAAGAATTATATGACGTTGAACCACCAATGTTAAGATATTGATCAGTGCTAATCTTGTTGCCTCGGCTGGAATTATGACTAACGCCACGAGACCTAGGCTCAGTGGTATCTTTACCCTGAAAAATATAATAAAGCAACAATATGCTTCAAACTGTACTCAAACAACATCCAGGGTAAAGAAATGCGAAACTATAAAGAAGCAATGTACATTACTAATTAAAAATGTTTGACAATTCTGTATTTAGAATGGAAGGGAAAGGTAAACTAACCAAATCACATCCAATTTAGTCCACCAGATGATGATAAGATATAAAGATAATACTCTAGCACATAGTTCTTAGGTTCAAAATATAGGGAAGGAACCTGTTATCAAACAAAACCCATAGCCAAAATGCATCAACAAAAATCACGCACCTCTTTTTTCTTTTCTCTTTTACTCTTCACCTCATGGAAAGGATCTAACAACAGTAAAGAAATCAGAGAAAGTTCGATTACTGAAATACACAGAGCATTCAAGATTTTAATGCTACAGCAGTGGTTATATTCCATAGGTTTATTACAGTTGCTGAAACTAACGATGCATCTCGATCAACTGATATAACTAACGAAGAAGAATGCCACACATAAAGGCAATCAATTCTAGTAGAATGAACCAAGTCAGGATAGAACTTATGTGACTCCATGCAACTGTGCAGTCAAACATTCAGAAGCATGTCCAGTAGAGATGTGGCAGCAGCCTGAAAGCTCAAATCCAGCTCGGGCAATAGCAGAATCTCTAGACTTCAAAAACTTTCCTAGTACATTATTCTAGTTGTGTAGCAAAATAATTATGAAAACCGAAAACTACTGCCGTGGCTTATACAGCTACACGTTCAAATCTTTCACCAAGGTAACCCAATGACCATGGAAAGAATCTAAATCCAGAAAAGCAGAATTCTTGATTTCTGATACACAGATTAAAAAGAAAGAAACTGTCTCTGAAACTTCTTGCTTTTCTTTTCTTTTACTCAATTTTCTTGAGAATTTCTTGAAGGGGACGTTGAGACAAATACAATTACAAAGAACGTCAAGTTCGCAAAATTCAATTATTTAGAAACCCGTAGTATACAGTTCGCGCTTAACAGAAACATGCATACAACAAAAAACGCGCATATAGTTTACCATACGCAGAAAGATTCTCTATTGGACATGAAAATAAAAAACCCTAGAAGAAACATAATAAACCTTTTCAGATTGAAACACATACCTTGAGCGAGTAGACGATTAACGGTCTCGTTAGGGTCCATATTGCAGTCCTTGAGGGTAGCATAGATCTCCGCGTCCGAGTAATTAACTATCTCCTTCAAGCTCTGCACAATCTTCCGCGACCCCGCCGGAACTGATTGTGCCCCTCCGCCATTGCCGGCGCCGCTTCCCCTGCTTGCACTCATCGCCGCCGTGAACAGATCTAATGCGGCAACAACACAGCAAAGCCCACGCTTTGCCTTAATATCTCCTCGGCCACCACCCCTTCCCTTTGTATGTATACGCAATATAGAGAGAAGAAAATGTGCTGGCAGATCAGATTACAAATTACCAGACAAAGGAACAAACACTAGCAGAAGTAGAAAATTTCAAGATTTTTTTCAAGAATTTTGCAGAGGGAAGAAGATTTTATTGGTTCAGTTGCAGTTTCGAAAACCCTCTTTGTGTCTATCTCCAAACGCTGCAAATAAATTTAAAAGTGCCTCTACATTCTCTTCGGTTTCAATTGTCAAGTTCCTTCTTTTTCCATTTTTGTTCTTTTTTTTTTCTTTTTTTTTTTTTT